TGTTATACAACATTTAGCATTTATTAGATCTATTCATTTTATTTCTACTTGAAGAAACAAACACCTGGCCATATATCCATAAATTTGACGTCCAATAAATCAGAAAATTCCAAAATACACCTTTTTTACGCCTGTTTAACAGCAGTCTCTCATGTGCAAAGACCTTTACAAAAAACAAAAGATTCAAATTTATAGAGATATTTTAATGTCAACAATTTTTCATGTTTTCTTTTGTTCTCTACTCAGGTGAGTCTGTTTTCTACTAAAACAGCGGTCGCTCGCATTGAACTGGAAAAAGGCATATTCAATCCTGGAGCCAAAAATACATGTAATATTTTCATATTTTATAAACAGGTGAACCATTTTAATCATTTTTTATGGAATCGTCCTCTAAAAATCATGATTATTGTATAATTAAAGGTTCACAAGTTTGTTGCTTAATCCTAGGTCCTGATTAGATGAAGCAGACCGGCCCGGTTGACTGGAATGATTTYTTTTGTTTTGCGTCCCCAGGGAAAAGAAAACACAAAAAAAGTGAACCAGCCTGCTTCAATAATGAGGCCCTTCAWACCATTCACCTTTTTAGCAAAACAGGCTACTAAGTATTTCTACTCTACTATTAGTGCCTAATAGCCAATCAGAATTGAATCAATTTGGCATGACTACATGGATATCATGGTCTACTATCAGATACCATTTGGGTTTAGAATGTCAAGAGGATTAAACCTGATATCAGCAAAGATTACTTTTACTACTCCACGTAGTAGCATTGCCTGCACGGAAAATCAAAACGTTGACATTCACTATTCAAAATAATAAGTTAAAATCGTCATAAATCAGGGAGATTGAATTAAAGTGTCAAAACCAGATGTTTTCTTCTTGTTGTTCTTAAATTTTACGATTTGTTTTTCATTGTAATATTTGAAGTTTGAACAAAGGTTACATAAGACAAATATTGAACCAAAATACAAAAACTGTAAGTAAAAGAAGCCCTGCTGTTTAATTCAAAGGAAAGCTGTCAAATGTGTTTACCAAARCGTTAGCAAAAACAAAACACTGAAGCTGGCTTGATAAATCTTGCGTCGCCAAGCTGTATTTACCAGATCAATTGCGACCAATTCACTTTGAATGTAAATGCCCTGAGGCAATATTACCCTTAACTTATTTTTGTCTAAAAATATGATTAAAATCAAGTGTTTTGCGGATTTTAAGCTTAACATACCTCGAGTCGTTGCTATCCAAGAGCTTGAGCAAACCCCATAACATATCCTCGGACCCAGGGTGGTTCAAGAACATATAACTACATAATTCTTTGTCAGAATGAATCTCCCTTACAAGTCTTTCAAGAACAAATGAAGTTTCATTGTTGTGACGGAATAAACTTTCTAAATTCTTGTTGAGTGAGCGCCCAGCTTCTGCCAGCATTAACATGTTGACTTCCCGGCGTGATTACATCCAAATTAGCTCAAATAATTACAAAATCAACTTCCCGAAACATGTTTCTAAGTTAGTTCTTTGCTATGACGACCTATATTCAAATTACCCATGCCAAGAAAGCCAAAAAGTGACTAATTACGAGCAAAATCCTCGTTAGCTCTTCTTTAGCACGAAATTAACTTTTTGAACTAAAGTACGTGACTTATAACAAGCATTCTGATTGGACAATCACAAGTTCTTATGTGACCATACAAGTACCATAAGCCAATCAGCGTGCGTGTAACTTTTAGAGGGATTATTTGAACAAAAAGGTAGTATTTGATCGGCTCTATGTAAACATTTATTAAAAACTGCCATCGTTTYGGCGCATGCAAATGAAAAGTTGCTTTGTTTCGTCGGTGAGAAGTACTTGCCCTAACTTGATTGTTTTTATTCTTTCGAAAAGACGTCTGACTAAGAACAAAGAAAATCTTTTCAAAATGTCTTTGTTTTCTCAACAAGTCATTTCAGTGTGTTTTTATGTCGTCTTTAAAGGCCTATAAAGCTTAAGTCAACAAACGCATCGTTTGAGAGAGGAAATTGGTAGAACAGGTTTCCTGAGYTTTAATTGCGTAACCATGGTGATAGTGTACACAACGTGTGACACATCGCARAAATTTGTCGTTGTAGTTATTCTGTTTGCAAAGATTGACACTTTTAGCAGCATTCAAAGAAAACCAAATTATTGATGTCCTTATCATTGCATTCATTTTCGCTTTTATAGACATAATTTGATATTTCTGGAAAGTTTAATTTTGACGATTCAAAGGCCATTCAATTTACCGATGTGAGGTTTTGAGGTGTCCGTAATATGCGGGGGTGTCCGTGAAATCAAGTGATATGAAAGTGTCCGCACTAGTAGGGGTGTCCGTGAAATAGAGATATGAAAGTGTCCGCACTAGTAGGGGTTTCCGTGAAATAGAGATATGAAAGTGTCCGCACTAGTAGGGGTGTCCGTGAAATCAAGTGATATGAAAGTGTCCGCACTAGTAGGGGTGTCCGTGAAATAGAGATATGAAAGTGTCCGCACTAGTAGGGGTTTCCGTGAAATAG